CAGAGTTATCCCCCTTTACTGTTATGTACCACATTAAATGCAGTATCAAAATACCAAAGTGTTTGGAAAATGTTAAATAGTGGAACTACAAAGTTACACGATACCGTTTAAATTTTGTTATCACAACATTACATGTACTCCGCAAAAAGCAATATTAATCGGTTGTTATTCTTTTTGTATATGACTGACGTCATTTGAGTGGTCTACTTTAACATTGTGACCTCGCACCAATTCATAAAAAAATATTCCTAGACAGATTTTAGCTTCTAGAAATTAATACGAGTTACAATACGTTTAATATTTGGTAGATATTCGATAAAATCGACTAAACTAAGATGGCGTCTGTTTGTTTTTCAAAGCGATGACTTCAATTTACCAATTCAAAGCCGTGGTTCAATAGCTTCATCGGAAGCACAAACACTCTTTCAGGGAAATAATGATAGGAAATGCAAGCTATAAAATATCGTTTTAGCAAGTAGATATATACTATTTTGAGCATGCTCTACTGGGATGATTGTAGATAGTTTGAAATAATTCAAGTATTTTTTTATGAATTTTATCTTATGAGAATATTTAAAAGCGTGGACATTCTACACCCTTTGTAGACATTCATTAGAATATAAGATTATACTATAATATACTGACATTGATAGGAGTTATATTGTTTTAAAGAGATTTGTTTATCAATGCCAAATCTACCTCCAGCGGCGAAACTGTTCTCAATTACAAAAAAATCTTGCTGTTCTTCTGGATGAATGGTTCTGAATACTACGCATACACAGTGTGGAAGGAAAACCACGATCAATACTATGAAAAATAGCTGAAATGAGCAAATACCGGTATTTGATAACCAAAATTGTTTTATTTGATCTCAGATATGATATTCTCATTGATAAAGGTTACGAACGAACATCTTATGACATGTCAAACTTCGTTCCGGAACCACTTGTCTACCTTAGTTCATTTGCGGAGAGTTGCCGGAAGATTTTCGTGACCTTAATGACTCGGACGCTTAAAAGAGAAATAATACTTGTAATAAATGGCATATCACGTCTGCGTCTGATCAATAATGTTAGACTATTCGGTTCGCTGTATGCAGAAAATTGTTCTATTTACTATTATTCGTTGAATACTAATTTTTGTGGATTTCGTTGGTACAGGTGAACCTCGAAACTAAATGTTCAGCAAATTTCAAATTTCCTATAGGATTGTCTGTAGACTTCGACAAAACCACGAAATTAAATATTCTCAAACATTTAAATTTAATTTAATCCACAAAAATTGGTACCCACGAAAATAAATGAATCCCCAGTAGAAGTTATTCTTACTTTATATGAAAATTCAAAATAGCAAACTATTATTGACTATGTCTGAGATACCAATAATGCATCACAAAATCGCGAAAAAAGAATAAGACACAAAACAAAAACCGACGAAACGTAAAAGCACACTCAACAATTCGCTGCAGAGAAAACTAAATAATTATATAGTAATGCATGTTTGAAAAAAGAAGGTAAAATCAACAAAAAATTAGTTCTAGCGTTTTTCTCAATATTATTTTCTATCATTTGTCTGTTTTCATATGTATCCAAAAGTCTTAGGTTTGCAGGAAACCATTGATATCATATTCGAATACATGACAAGACACAATAAACTGACATAGAGTTCAAGAAACCGGCTTTGATGATATACATATTTCAACACATATTTCAACTGACTACTTGTAAATGAATTAATAGTGACCGTTGTACAAAAAAACTATGTAGACTATGTCATCCTTTCAGTGCAATGAGTCTGTGTACAGCCTACTTTAAAACAAAACAGTTGAAAAAAGAAATATGAGTACAGTTGTAAAGAAAACATAAAATCCACGTTTAAGGTGGTACAAAACACTACAGGGAGATAACTCTGTACAAATCAGCGGAACGTTTTAATCACGTTATGTTGTAAAAGAAATATAAAGCGTTCAATGATCAAAATTAGTGTTTATCAAACTGCTATATAACCAATGATTTTTTTTCTGATAAAGTGGTTGGTTCAAATTTTTTGAAATTTTTATATTAAATTTTTTTGTCAAAGGGTCAAAGTTAATATTTTGTCAAAATTTTATAAACATTAAACGAGCCAAATAAATTATAGTTAAGGTGTTTGATACCACCTTAACAGTTAGACTAGCAGAATACAAAACCAAATGGCAAGCCGTTGTGGATCTTCTTGCTATAAATCAAAACACAAACAACTGCAAGGTCAATAAGCGATTAAATAAGGATCCGAGTACTAAGCTTTAAACACATTAGGATGAACCAGCCCCGTGATTTGCCGCTGGACGCTCTGAACCCTTAAACATTTTTTTTTTGAAACTTGTAAAAATTCGAAACCGTGATATTGAGGTATGGGCGATAATTGTCTCAATTTTAATAAACCCTCGGAAATCTTTTATTTCGGATAAAACCGAATCGATTATTTTGATATTATCTTTTTTCTTAAGTTTGCATTTTACCAGATTTTAGATCTCCTTTTTAATACACGCAATTTTAACCGTTTTTCAAATTTACTTAAATTTCGCTTAACAATCTCATGTAAAAACAGAGGAAATGTTCGGGAACAAAGGTTTAGAAAATAAGATTGACACTTATATTAGATAAAACGTTGGAAAGAGGCAGAAATAAAGTCTCACAAGAATAAAGTTTAACCATGAAACCTTAACATAAGTAATCTATCAAAACCACACCCCTTCCCTTCTCTTCATCGTAGACATACGTCAAGCAAATCAAAAATTAATTAAAAGCTTAAAACGGACAAATAAGTTCCTTTATGTAATGGTAACGCCTCAGGTATCGTATATAACTAATTTGCGTTTAATAATTGATATGTATGCGTTGCAAGGAAAAAAGGAAAACCATTCGTAATGAAGATGAATTTGAATAGTATGATTTAATCACGTGATATATTTTCATGTTCGGGAATATATTTGAAAGTAATCACTTTCTAACCAACAGTCGTAGTGTTAAATTTGATATTACATATTAGGATATAACGTTTTCTTTATTATTTATATGTGTGTCTATGATCAGTAACGTTGATTTGAACACGTATATTTATCAGTATCTTTTAATATATTTTCTTTTTTATAATAATCAAAGTATTCCTTCTGAGATGTTCCATCGAGCATTGGAAATTTGACAAAGGTTTCAACTATTTTATTTTATAAATTTTTTTTTGCTTTCAATGCAGTTTGACCGAATCAATTCATTGCATGTGGCTGTACCTGTTCATTTATTACTAGGATTTAAAGAGAAATATTATGTACATGTATGAAGTATACTTACTGAAAAGCCAAAATAAACATAATTCCACGATTATTAAAAGTAAATCAAAACTTTCATTAATATGGGATAATATTATTATTAAAGTTATAGGAATACCTCATTTCATCACTAAAACAATCTTTGGAAAATTGAGGGAGCATTTTTTGAAATAAAACAGGAATGTGTTTTTTTGTTTTTGTTTTTTTTTTTAAACAAATGTGTAGGGTTCTATTTCATTTGAAAAACAATATCACTATAATTAATTGTGACGTCAAAGGGTTCATATATATGTTATGATAACAGAAAAAAGTTGCACAATAGTAAAATAATACTTTACTATAGTAACCACTGATAGAATAACTAAGATATTAATGTATGTTTTTAAAAGGAGAATAACCCCTTTTTCCCTTGGCAGATTGCGCGTAGGCATAATAACTGTTTGGGTATATGCGCGTATGCAAAATAACTGTTCAGGAATATGCACGTAGGAAAAATAACTGTTCGGGAATATCCGCGTACATTTGCATGTCAAAACAACAACTATTCACGTCATATTGTTGGTTGACGTCTTGAAAATATGGCGTCCGCCTTCAGATTTAGCTCAAGATTTATTAACAATAATTATATCCAAAAAATTTAGAATGCAAATGGGGAATGTGTCAAAGAGACAACAACCCGTCCAAAGAGCAGAAAACTGAACCATGTATTAAGTTCAGTATAAAAATACAGTTATGTCCTTCGCGAAAAGTAATATTCAAAATTATTAACTCTCGAAAAGGCACTTTTTACTTGGTTCTACGTACCTCGAGGAAAAAAGCATTTCGTCGATTTAATAATTTGGGCTATTAACTATTTAGGACGGTCATAATTGTATAAGATCAAATCTTGTTTATACTCCTGACAAAATTTATGACTTAAAAAAATATCTAATCAATCAATTTCTACACAGACAAAACATTATATCCATTAGAATGTTTAACAGAAGAGTATATTTTTACTATGTAGTGTAATGTTGGGTTATTATCTTAACGACGTATATCCTATACCTCAAAAACAACAAATCAGTTTGAAATACTCAAGACATTAGCTAGTTAAAAAAAAAGAATTTGATGCGATATACCATTCCGACAAAAGATATTATTTCAGTTCTTTATTTGATTTATATTTCAGACCAATCAATCGACGGTTTTATTTTTAGCATCCATCTCCCAGTTGATACTATATACCAGCACTTGCTTTTTTCTGTCATATTTTCCTACTTATATCTTAACGAAATTCATTGAAACATTTGTTTCGAAACTATACAAGTGACATCACTTTATCCAACGATTTACGGACGCAATTATAGTTTGAAAAAGTAAAATAACAAATATACCAAACTCAAAAGGGAAATTCAAACAGAAAGTCCTTTATAAAATGGTAAAAACAAATGACATATTCCCGACTTGGTACAGGCATTTCCTTATGTAGAAAATGATAGATTAAACCTGATTTTATAGCTGGCTAAATCTCTCACTTGTAAAACAATCGCATAGAATTCCATTATCTTGACAACAATGTGTGAGCAAAACAAACAGACATAATACGTAAAAATGTCAAAATTTTATTGATCCTTATGGAATACCAGTGAATTAATACTAAAACAGATAAATCAGCTGAAAGATTTTACTAAGATGTCAGCGTACACTCTCGCTATGGACAAATAGTCTGAAATACACAAAATTATAAATTTTAATCCTTATATTTCACAAAGAAATAGAATTAAAAATATTTAAACCAAAAATTAATATAAAATTGTCCTATTTAACTCACATGGTTAGAAATATTCAATATGGCAATCAATTATTCATATTAAAAATGTTCTTATCTAATTTAGCATGCCACTGTACAATACGTTTTTCGAGAACAAAAAATGATTGTTAATTATATTCATTAGCTGCATTAGTGACACATTCAGTCAAACGAAAACGACAAGATTACCTTAACGAGTCATAATCCTATACATAAGAAGGCTTTATACAAGGATAGCGGACGATTCAATTTATCTATGCAATCGATGATTTTCGAAAATCGTATATCTTTATGTAATACTGTTTTTCTTATAAGGAAAATAATATTTTCGAGAATATGACAGTTGTTTTCCATTTGTTTGATGTGTTTGAGCTTTTGATTGTGCCATTTGTTAAAGGACTTTCTGTTTTGAATTTTCCTTAGAGTTCGGTATTTTTGTTGTTTTACTTTTTGGTATCATTAAAATCAAACAATATGTTATTTTATAATATGACAACATCATGATATATCATACTTACTCTTGGAAATTCGCAAACGTATAGGGCGGCAAAAGAACAAAAGTTGTCTCCCCATAGCCATATTCTAGGTTCAACGTCAAGTCCTAGTATTCCTAAGCAGCTATCATTTTCGTCAGACATAATCGCTACAAAATAACTATTCTACAATACAACTGTAATAATATAATGACATTGGCTAATTAGAAAAAAAAATGAAACAAAACTCAAAGACGTAAATTGCTGTTTTGAAAGACGTTGTGTCACAACACTCAAATAAACAGTACAGCCATACGATCGAAATGAATTGGGGTGCATTTAACAATATGTAAAAGCAATTAAAGATGTCGATGTATCAGTTCATAAGGAGTTACACTGGGCTCGAGTATGAACCTTCTTTTTTCTTTTCCAATTTTCTGATGCCTTTTTTTTTTTTTTAACTATTCTTAGATATTTTCTTGTTTTTATCTATACGAAAGATTAATAACTGTAGTTTATATATGCTCCTTTATTTTTTTTCTTTTTTATATTTTCTTAATGACATTAAAGATCAAAAGTTATTCATGTTGATATATCGTACTTCTGCTCGCCTCCAGCACATTTACATAATTATGTAAGCACCATATTTTATTAAATCATACAAATAAGGACATATAGTGTCATACCTCGGTCGCTATAGTTTCTTTAAGTCTATGTCTATAACTTTTGAGCTTGTATATCAGAACAGGGGAAATCTTTCGAACTTATTCATTTTATTGAACTTCATGATTTTAAGCATTACAAATTATCAACAGGAACAAAAAGGTAAGTCTATTTTATAGTTACTCATGGTCTTTGTACGAAGAATAATAGCAGATCGTTTCAAACGTTTAAGCAAATGGAGAGCTGATAAAACTAAAGAAATTTAAAGAAAAGTCAAAGAAAGAATATGCAAAATTTACAGCCATATGGTTGCAATGACAAAATTGATGGTATAGGTATTCTATCTAGTCTTTCCTGTAGCTCGGTGAATGTGATGAATATTTTCAACTCTACTCCTCGACGTAGACGCAGTCATAGTCATCGTCATTTTGCATCACCTACTTTGCATGATGTCTCTATTAATGACTTGCTGCCATTTATACAAAAGCCGTTAGGTATTCATCAAATTCGCAAGAAACTTTATTCATTACCCTTTTCAAAACTTCATTCTCTGTTCAATGTATATTTGAAAACCACTGTTACAAACCCTCATTCAAACAAATACAAACTTACAGCTATCCTTTCGGATATTGCAAGTCACAGACTTTTCAAACCAGTTCGCATTGGAAAAGATGAAAAAGAGAAGATATCTTTTCTTAAACTTTCCTTTGCCAACAAAGGTCTCGATGGCGTCAACTTAGGCAATATCCTTCATCATAAATTAGTTCAGTCGAAAATACCTCCTTATTTTAAAGATCAGTCTGTACCAATAATTTCTTATACCTATACCAAACCAATTACAACTAAAATTTTCAATTATAAACACGTTTTGCAGGATCTCAACATTGACGACTTCAAGTCTAAACCTCCTGATTGCACCTGTGCTAGTTCCCAATTCACATATTAACCGGCTGGCCACGTTATTACCGGAGACCTCAACATTGTCAATAACACTTCCCTGTTAAATTTGTTATCCAAAGGTCCGAAATATCGTGAGCCTAAATCCATCAATTGGAAATACAACTTCAAAATACTGATGGATTCAGTCGATGATTATGCCAGGCTATGGGCTAAACGCGAGAAAGAAGACGTAGATACTCTTTCCGAATGGATTAGAGCTGTGAGGTCGTTGATACAATTCCGAATTAAGAAACTAAATGGGCCTATCAATACCCACGCTATGTCAATTTTTAAAGACCCAAATGTTGCAAAACACTTGTCCTACCTCCATGACAAACATGTTGTTGTCCCCGCAGATAAATCCCAAACAACATCGTTTTTGTGTGTAAATATCATTACATAAACTGCTTGATAAATGAATTAGGTATTGACATTTCACTTGGAAACTCAAAATATACCCTCACGATACTTACCAAAGAGGAAATCCTTGATAATCATAGGTCTGTTATATGTTCCTTTGGAATTGCAACCAAAGATAAAGAACTGGATCTTCCATCACTGTATTGGATACCTAAACTACATAAGTGTCCTTACAAACAACGGTATATTGCTGGGTCTTCCAAGTGCTCCACGAAACCGCTTTCTAAATTATTAACATCTATTTTATCAGCAATCAAAACCGGGCTCCAAAGTTATTGTGCAACTGCCTATTCTAGAGGTGGCGTGAATCAGATGTGGATACTTAAAAATTCCAAAGATCTTTAAGAGTACATACAATCTAAGACTCTCTCATCTTGCAATAGTATTAAAACATTTGACTTTTCTACACTTTACACAAGTATTCCCCATTCCGAACTAAAAGACAAATTGAAAGAGTTGGTATTACTTTGTTTCATTAAAAAGTATGGCGAACGTAGATACAAGTATCATGTCTTGGGGAGGGATAAATCCTACTTTGTAAAGAATTACTCTGATTCAAACAAAAAATTCTCTGAAACAGACATTATCAAGATGCTTGATTTCTTGATTGACAACATATTTGTTACGTTTGGAGGACGTGTTTTTCAACAGACTGTCGGAATTCCAATGGGAACCAATTGTGCCCCTCTTCTTTCCGACTTGTTTCTTTATTATTACGAGGCTGACTTCATACAGGAACTTCTTAGGAAGAAAGATAAGAAGTTAGCAATATCCTTTAACTTTACGTTCCGCTATATAGATGATGTTCTCTCACTGAATAATACAAAATTTGGTGACTATGTTGAACGAATCTATCCCATCGAACTAGAGATAAAGGATACTACAGATACAGATAAGTCAGCCTCATATCTTGACTTACATCTAGAAACTGACAATGAGGGTCGGTTGAAAACAAAACCTTACGACAAAAGAGATGATTTCAGCTTCCCAATTGTGAACTTTCCATTTCTATGTAGCAACATTCCAGCAGCGCCTGCATACGGAGTATATATCTCCAACTTTATACGATATTCCCGGGCTTGTATTTCCTATCAAGATGTCCTTGATAGAGGATTGCTGCTCACAAGGAAGCTATTAAACCAAGAGTTCCAAATGGTGAAGTTGAAATCATCCCTTCGTAAATTTTACGGACGCCATCACGAGTTGGTTGACCTTTATTGAATAACCGTTTCACAGATGATATCGGATATGTTCCTTATGTCGTAACTACAATACCCTTCCCTTTTCACGAATGTGACCTACCGAATTAGACTTTTTACCGGATTTGTAATAACATAAGTAACACGACGGGTGCCACATGTGGAGCAGGATCTGCTTACCCTACCGGAGCACCTGAGATCACCCCCAGTTTTTTGGTGGGGTTCGTGTTGCTTAGTCTTTAGTTTTCTATGTTGTGTCTTCTGTACTATTATTTGTCTGTTTGTCTTTTTATTTATAGCCATGGCGTTGTCAGTTTATTTTCAATCTATGAGTTTGACTGTCCCTCTGGTATCTTTCGTTCCTCTTTTACAGCATATAGAGGTATCAAATACTTAGTTATGTTGAAATACTTCATATCGGTAAAATACCTACAAATGTTATTTGTTTTCATCCTCAGCGGTATCGTGTACTCAATATAACTACTTAATATAACTATTCGATTTAAAAGATTTAGCAGTATGATCTTGAAGTTAAATAATTATAAAAAATATCCAGTTGTCTTTAAATCCATGTAAAAATTAATCGGAAAAAATAGACTCTACTAAACACTACACAATTCAAAGGTGATAATGTCTGTATCAAAGTTCTATTTTTCTGTTCAAGTATTTCTAGAAGTAAAAGTACCCTTGTGAATGTCTTTTTAGCCTTAGACTGTACCTCATCTTTGGAATTTTTGTTATTTTAATATGTTGTCAGAGAAGAATTTTTAAAAAGTAAAAAGAGGTATTAACTTGACTTTGCGGTTTTGTATCATTTTTTGGAGAATTGTGATCTCTTTTATACTCGGGGTGAGTGAAAGCAATCCATATTGTACAGACACGTGTTTAGTGTTTTAGACCTTTAAATGATCGTTGATGTTCTTGAGTTCTTTCAATACTGCTTCATTGTTGTATTTCCAGCAATTCTTCATACCTTTATACAAAACGCATTGTTTCTTACTTTAACTCATCATAGTTACCAAGATTTAAATTGTGTACACAAGAAGAGATAATGTTAAGATTACTCTGCGGTAAATGAACATAAGTATGTGAATAGCAAATTTGTATAGATTTACTCATTTCAATGTTAATTTATGAGAAGAGTTGCATAATTAACTGAAGAGTTAAAGTTACCTATCATGCCAAATGGTTGACGATTCGTCATCATATCTAATGGAAATCCACTTTTGTCTATATCAAATACAAACGTTCCATCGTTGGCTTTTCTGCCACCAGTCCACATACATTCTTGGAATGCTAAAACGATGGAATTGTAATAAATTACTTGAATGTGTAACATATATCGAGGTTAATTAAAAATAATCCTGGCGATGGTAAAAAAAATAGAATGTGAGTATAAAGATTCCAAATCGAAAAATGTTAACTAGTGTATCACAAGATTTGTTGAAAGAATAAAAAAAAATATATGTATGGATAACGTACATAATCAAATATGGAGAAATATAAATACATATAGATTGTCTGCTTATTGACGCATGCATACAATTTCCTTCGTACTCTACTAAAGCTCGTTTCTCGAATTCGTAGACGCTAGAAATACCGAAAACGGTTTTTCTTACATTAAAGGTGGATGAATTTGGCCGAACAATAAAATCGTATATATTTAAGGAATGACTGTAAAAATTTTTCTGTCTATGAAGAAATAACCTAAAAAAAATGTGGTGCACACTAAATAACCCGCGTAGCGTGTTATTTAAAAGTGTGCACCACATTTTTTATGTTATTTCGAAGAGACAAAAAAAATATTACAGTCATTCCTTATAATTTAATTCTAAAATCCGTTTTTAAGGAGTAAATTTTGAAACAAAACGTTGGTGACGTCACGGTTACATGACAAAATTATGTCTATGAGCTGATAGACAAAACACTTTCAGCCAATTAGAAGACGTGTTACATCCAAAATTAGATTATTCAGAGTTAAATTATTCGTAGCGTTTGATTGTTTAAATCAAATCAGCGGCAAATGCAAAACAAATGATAACGGAAGGAAATTTTACATAATAATATAAAAAAAGAATAGAACGAATGGTAAATATAACTAGGGGTTGCATAATGGAAAAGCAAATCTAGTCCTTTTACTATTAACTGGGGTCAATTTATGTAACGTGTTTATATAACCGAGGAAAAGTGACGTTCGTGAACTTTTTACAAGAAATCGAAAAAGGCTAAATACGAACATGGATATTGTTTTGAATTATAGATTGTTTTATTTCAACCAGATAGCAATTAATGGGCGAAGAACTGTCTTTTGATACTCGTCAACTTCAAAGAATCAATTATTGCTTTTAAGGAGTTTCGGATAGAGGAACTTATGAAATTGATACTATACAAGATTAGACAATAATAGTGGATTGTTTACCTAAGTTGTCGTTTCATGTGAGTAATTTCTAAAACCGTTAATGTTATTTCTTGGTCGATACATCTGCTGGTAGACTGTCAGTCCCCGAAAGTATCGCCAGCCCAGTAGCCAGTATATCGGTATGGAAATATAGATATTGTGTCATCAAATTTGCTGTTATAATGATTTTTAAATTAATTGAAATGAAGGGGTATGCAAAGCACTGATTTCTTGCCCGGCATTGACTATATTTACGCTCTTTTATGTCTATAAACTCCTCTTTTTTTACGTTTTTAATTTTCAAATATTTTGACCTTGAGCCAAACTGAAGAGTTAATAATTGTCCAAAGGCGCATTGGTGCATAAAATTGTAACCGTTAATGTTATAACTACCACTGGGTCGATACCTCTGCTGGTGGACTGTTAATCCCCTAAGTTATCACATGCTCAGTAGCCAGTACTTCGGTACTGGCATGAGAATACGGATAAAATGTTATTAAAACTTGCTGCTAAAGAATTTGGAACATTATTTTAAATCAAGGAATATATCTCCCTCGTGAAAAGCTCAAATTTCCTATCCCAGCTTTGCCTATACTTTTTTGTTATTTGAAGTCTAGAAGCTCTTAATGTATTTTTAGTTGTTAATTTTCAAATATTTGTGCCTCGAGCTTAACTGGAGAGACATTTATTGTCGAAATGCACATTATTGGTACAGAAAATTGATACCGTTAATGTTGTTTAGACCAGATGGCAAGTGTCTCCTTTGACAAGCATGTTGCACTAGACTCAACTGGATGTGCCGGTAAATATGATGCATACAGATATAGCTGCAAACATTAATAAAGCACAGACGCTTACGTTCTCCCTCTTAAAATGCTATCTTTGAAAGATATCCTTAAAATAAAAGATTAGATAAAAGAAAGGTTTTTTTTTTTAATTAAGTAGAACAAATGACGCAGAAGTCAACAAATAAAGGTCATCGGACGGCTTCAACAATGAGAGCAACCCATTTATCACAGCAAGCTTTAAAAGGTATCACAAGAACTAAATGTAAACCAATTCAAACGTGAAAACTAACGGTCTGAATAGGTATCAAAATAATAAACAAAAATCGAATATACTATAAAGCAACAAACAACAACCTCTGACGTACAGGCTCTTATTATATATTTAAATATCCGTTTTCTAGTTCGATGCTCGTGATTATCGTAACTGCTTCTTTAGAACTGTTCCTCCTAAAAAAAAATTATGACGGCTTTTTCTACTATAGAACAGATTTGAATAGTTCTACCCTGAAACTGATTCGGAAAGTTCTACCATAGAACTGGTTAGAACAGTTCGTCTCTAGAAAATAATTTGCAATGTGTACCCTATTCTGGTGGACGGTAATTATCCGAGGGTATCACCAACCTAGTAATAAGTACCCCTGTCCTTGGATGAAAATTTGGAAATCTTTTAATTGCAGTTTACTGATATAAAATTTTGAATTTATTTAAAATAATATATATAGATGCTTTAGAAGCAGAGCTCTGATTGCTTGCTCGGATTTGGTTGTATTTTTGGGGTTTATTAGCTCTTGACTTTTTGAATGAGCTTTGAATTTCCAAATATTTTGGCCTCTAGCATCACTGAAAAGATATTTATCATGGTGCATTTGGTGCAATAAAGGTTGAATCGTTATTCTTGTGACTACCTTAGAACACATTTAGAATGTTTATATCAAATTAGAACAGGTTTACATTTTTGACAGTTATACCCTAGACCAGTAGATTAGAAATATATTAGAGATGTTCTAGACTAGAAATATTCTATACTAGAATTGCTTTACACTTGAACCGATCCAAATTGAATTATGTTGTTCCATATTAATCTAAAAAAACATGTCATACGGCAGCCATCAATCTGAAAAAACGATCTTCATTACTTTTCTCATTTACATCGATAAAGAAGGTAAAAAACTCATCAAAGATACAAGGATTATAATTGTATTCGCCAGACGCTCGTTTCGTCTAGACTCATCATGTGGCGCTCAAATAAGAACAGTTGACGCACCAAATCGATTACGAACTTGTAGAGCTTTACAAACATAAAACCACGAATAGCTTATCAACTCCTAACTTACGAATAGACAATTTATTTATCACGGCATTAGCTTCTACTTCAGTGTTTGGATTCCACAGGAAGGCTCCCGGGGTCATGGCACAAGTCCTCTGAAATTAAAAAAGAAGACATACATGTTTTTTTTTATATTTTATTTATTCAACGTATAATCATTAAAGAACGACTTTTCTTTTCATTATATGAAACATTATTATTAGATTTTTTAGTCAACAAACATTATAATTTGAGATTTGAACGACGTTTTATATGCTTTAGAATTGTAATGAATTTGTGAATGTTATTTTGAAGGTATCATTTTACAGTTATGCTCAGACAATTCGTTTTTCTCATGAGAAATTATCTTCTTGTTCTCAATTAATAGTTTTAATATGTTTATGTTTCTGTCTCATCAACACATGCACCAAATATATCCTCACTTTCCTACTGCAAATACTGGCGTCTATGTTTAAGTAATTTTAGTAGTTCTGCGCCATATAGGGTTTTGGTAGACAAGGTACTCGTTGTTGCAAAGTGCAATCATAGATTCTGAAACGTTTCATATTGGAAAAGCCATAGCTTATGGATTTTTTTATTTTTACTTTTTTTGGGGGGGAGGGGCGATTATATGAGATTATTGAGGTGTAAACAGGGCAGAAGGATTTTCAAAATGAATATTCTGATTTTTTTACAAACTCCAGACCTGATGGGAATCGATAGTTTGTTCAAGAAAATACAGGTAAAGCAATTAGCAAGACTAGCAATAGGTCAAAATTAGAAATCTGCCCGCCAAAAAATTTCCGGTCGCGATGAAAGTTAAATGTTCGTCAGAACCATGTTCATTTTTTTCATCAAGATGATTATAAATGAACCAGAGATCACTATGTTAAAAATGTTTATAAGCTTTACCTAAAATTCTTGAAAGAGCAAGATAAAAATTTAAAATTTAAATACAGCAATGCAAATCCTTACAGTGATATTCAACAAAATTGATGAGGCAAAAGCAAAGACCTTATAGTTACATGTTTAGTTTTCTCTTTCTTTTATTAGTAAAAGCTAATAAGTTGTCTTTGTAAAGGCAAATAGTAAGCTTTGAGGCATGCCATGTAGTAAAAAGTACATGTTTCAAAATTGTTTAATAAGGAGATGTTCTATGATTGCCAATGAAACAACTATCCACCAAAGTTCAACTGAAGTGAACGTAAGCAATTATGGGCAACCGTACAGCCTTCAACAATGAGGAAAACCTATACCATAAAGTCGGCTATGAAAGTCCCCGACATTAAAAACAATTCAATTGAGAAAATTAAAGGCCTAATGTATACAAAAACAATTTACGAAAAAGGAAATATGACAGACATGAACCGACAAAAACAACTGAACTACAGGCTCGTCACTTGGAACAAGCACATAAAGAGTGTTGGGGGGTTAACATGTTTTGTGAGCGTTCAACCCTCCCCTAACCTGGGACAGTTGTGCTACAGTCCAACATAAAGAAAGAGTTCCTTTTTCAAAAGGTTTTTATTCGTACGATGATTGAATGTATAATATGCCACATAGTTATTCAAAAGAAGAGTAAAGTATTGATAATTGCACACTACGCCAATAATAACTAGTTGCACTCAGCAAGTCTATATGCGATTAAATTCTATCAATTTTAAAATTATGGCATTTAGAAAAAAAAAGTGTATGAATATATATGCCATATTATGGCTAAACATGTAAACATGAAAAAATAAAATGAGTTTTTGTCATTCATTGTAGCTTAATTAAATAAACAGACATTTGAATAACTGACGAATAATTAGAAACTAAGACTATATGCAAATAGACTTGTTTAATCAACATATGAGTGAAATTTTTTTCAAAACTAGTGAAGACATCTTAGGTTATAAAAATAAAGAAAGAAAGGAATGGATATCTGGAAAAACCTGGGATTATTATTATGGAAAGAAAAGCATTGAAATAAAAAACTAACCAAGCAACAGGAGAATAACAAGAGGGAATGAAAGAGCTGTATAATAGTAAAGAAAAAGAAGTGAAAAAGAATGCAAAGTCAGACAAAAAGGCATACATAAATAATATTGCAGAAGAGGCTGAAAAAGCATCTAAAGTTGGAGATGTGAGAAAGTTATACAACACCCCGAAACAACTTAGTGGCAGGGTAAATACCACCAGTACTTACATCAAAGATAAAGATGGTCAGACAATATGCAAATTTGAGAAACAATTGAAAAGATGGAAAGAGCATTTTGAACAGGTGTTAAATAGACCTGAACCAGGAATCTCAGTTGACAGGTTAGAGGAAGCTCCACCACCAATAGAAATAGAAATGGGACCCATAACAGATGATGAGATCAAAGCAGCCATTAAGAAACTTAAAAACAACAAGGCGCCTGGGGCAGATGGCATACCAGCAGAAGTACTAAAAGCAGACATAAATCTCAATGTGAATATCCTACGTGATTAACTGAATGAAATATGGGGAAAAGAAATACTACTTACTTAGTGGAAAGATAGTATCATCATAAAACTACCAAAGAAAGGCAACCTTACAGATTGTAACAACTGGCATGGAATTACTTTACTATCAGTGTCTGGAAAGATACTTTGTAGAATAATTCTAGAACGAATCAAACACAAAACCGATTCTATTCTACGGGAAGAACGAAGTGGATTTAGAACAAACCGTGCATGTATAGATAACATCCTCATACTAAGAAATATTATAGAACAAGCACTAGAATGGAGATCACCTATATATATATAAATTATGTGGATTTCGAAAAGCATTTGATAGCGCCCATAGAAAGTCACTTTGGTACATCATGAGTATGTATGGAATTCCACAGAAAATAATTAACATCATTATGGAAATGTATGATGGTTTTAGATGTGCAGTCAGACATGATGGAAAACTATCAGACTGGTTTTTAATAATATCTGGGGTAAGACAGGGACAATTAATATCTCCTTTTCTCTTTATATTGGTGGTTGACTGGGTAATGAAGTAGGCAACAACTGAAAATCATGGTATACAGTGGGGACTAACAACATTTTTGGAGGACATGGACTTTGCTGATGATATCAGCCTCTTTTCTCATACACATGAACACATGCAGAAAAAGACAGATAAAGTTACATCAGAGGCAGCGAAAGTAGGACTGGTGATAAATGATTAGAAAACTAAGGTGAGGAAGATAGCTACAAAGAACAAAAACGCAATAACAGTGAACGGAAAAGAACTGGAACAAGTAAATTCATTCAACTATCTTGGTAGTAGAGTCAATGCAGAAGGAAATATTGAAGAAGAAGTCAACATCCGTATTGGCAAAGCAGCTGCTGCATTCAAGAACCTGAACAACATATGGAAAAACAATAAAATTTCTAGAAAGACAAAGATTAGATTGTATGTGAGCAATGTTAGATCAGTTCTGCTGTACGGTTCAGAAACATGGAAAACAACTAAAAAAGTCGAAAGTCGAATTAGAGGATTCGAAGGACGCTGTTTGAGACGAACTATTAACATCAGATGGCCAAATGTAATTTCAAACAGTGAATTATCAGAAAGAACAGGTGTGAAGAATATAGTGAATGAGATCATGAGAAGGCGGTGAAAATATATTGGACATATATTGCGAATGGATAACAACCGGCATGTGAAAAAGGTGCTGACATGGACACCACAAGGCACATGGAGAAGGGATATAGCAGTAGAGATAAAAAGACATGGTTACACCTGGAATCAGATAGAGAAAATCGCAAAAGATAGAACGAGTTGGAGGTCCCTTGTTGATGCCTTATTTGTTCAAGACCATGAAGAGGATTAAGTAAGTAAGTAATCAAATATGATTGGCGTACTGGAAAACTAAATGTGACCGTGTTATTTGTTGTTGTTTAAAATGCACAATTGGTGTTCATATAATAGAAACAATGTACCATTCTTGTCTAAAATTACGTCAGTATTTGTAAGATCAGTATATCAAGCTCACTTTTATGGCAAATAGTCTTTAAAGGAAAGTTTTTTTTTTACACTGTATTCATCATCCTCGCTTTGTTACTCAGCAACGTCTAGAATTAACTTTATAGGGGTTATATTCTGTGAGTACATTCGTTTTATGATCACCATCATGAATTCATTGACATATACGATATGTTCTAGATCTTAGGAACTTTTAATTCTACTGTATGTTGCCTACAATTTAATCAAAATTAGTTATCCGTACTTGCACCGCGCGATATTTAAACAACCGAAGGAATATGAGGAGCAAGTAAGGATAACTAATTTCAATAAGATTGTATTGCCTATTCTCGATTGTGAAATTTTGATTTAATGTAAATTTGAAGGCCCGGTGATCCATGCATAGATGGAGACACTTAATCAACCGATGCACCCGGTCTCTCTAATTTAGAAATCAATCAAATTTGATTTGTCACCATGCATTTTCTTCTTAATCCATGTATGAGATATTAACATCAGTAAACTACCGTTTTCTATATTTACAACTTGTGCTATGACTTGTCTGAACAAAGTGAAACAAGTAAGAATGTAATGAGAAAAAACAATTAAGGAAAAGTATTGGCTACAAATCAACGCAATCATGGACTTTATATTGATAGTTGAAATTGGTCTGATATTAATGAAATACAAGGTAATTAATTAAAATAGATGCACTAGTAACACTACTCACCATAGCATCATCCCAGGATTGCAAGTTATTGCCCCCACCATACAGGTAACAATTAGTACTAGCAGTTTGGTCATCTAGCAACCTGTACCCATGAGGACAATTTGGTGTAACACATGGTGCTATAAATATGACAAAATAGTAGTTTGAAATGATCAGAACAGTACGAAAAAAAAAATGAAGGTAAAGTGTTGACGTAAAACACAATTAGGTCAAGATGAAATGTCCCTTGAATTCATTAAGCGACGTATTATGTCGTACATATTACCGGATTTGTAATAACATAAGCAACACGACGGGTGCCACATGTGGAGCAGGATCTGCTTACCCTTCCGGAGCACCTGAGATCACCCCCAGTTTTTGGTGGGGTTCGTGTTGCTTAGTCTTTGATTTTCTATGTTGTGTCATCTGTACTATTATTTGTCTGTTTGTCTTTTTATTTTTGGCCATGGCGTTGTCGGTTTGTTTTCGATCTATGAGTTTGACTGTCCCTCTGGTATCTTTCGTCCCTCTTTTTGAACTTGATTTATTTTTTATATAAAATGTACCATTGACTTTAAGAGAGCATTTAGTTTAACAGTACATTGATTTTTTATTTACTTTGATTTCTTTATATCCTAGGTTTTCCTTTTCTTGATTCCGATTGGTTACTCTGTGAACTCGTTTGATAATGAGGCACTATTTTTTAATTTCATTGCAGAAATTAGGAACACAAACACTTTTTGTGCGAAATGTATTTATATTATGTAATCACATTTTTTCGCTTAGCGCCCTGTTGTATAGGGATGACACTGTGTTACTTTCTAGTACCGCTAACGGACTACAATCACAACTTGATGTACTTTAAAAATGGTCAAAAAATGGTCAAAAAATGGGAGTTGAATGTGACCATTGATAAGATTAAGATCTCACACGTTGAAAAAGAATCACTGGCGCCGTGATACTATGGTTTCATTTGATGACACATATCTATATCGATATCTGAGATTTACATTGGGTGACACATTTGATTATTCTATTGGTGTAAAAGAACTGGTAACAACTGGTAGCCTTGCTTATGGATCACTGGTATCTTATTGTTGCACACTGGATGGCATGGGCTATGACACATACACCAAACTCTTCAACTGTACCGTAACTCCAATTACAGAGTATGCTTTCGGGGTATTGGATTCAAAACCCGTCAATGGACTTGATAAATTGCAAAAATTGAGCAATTCGTTCGTTTCTGTGCGTTGGTGAATTCACATCTATTCCAGCTATTACAGGTGGAGTGGGATGGATTTCACCGGCAGTTCGATTTCAATGTCTGATAGTAAATCGCTGGTGTCGCTTGGTAAGCATGATCAGGAAGAGAACACTGCGACGAATCTTTCGATAGGATTACCGCTTTTCGGTCAACAATCTTTGAGCTGTTTCTTGCTCTTTGGTCGGGTTATTGTCTCTTTGACACATTCCCCATTTTCATTCTCTACTCTAATCGTGACACTAAGAGTATCAATGTGAGATATCTCATGAAAGATTGTGGACTTTAAAACTTATTCAACACTTAGTGCTGATGGACTTAGTGAAATATTGTTCTTATCGTTAATGACCCGCGTTTGCGGAAACACCAGTCTAAATGGTCAGAGAGTCTAGAGGAAATGTCAAAAATTCGAACTTATAAACACTTGGATTTCTTCTACACTGTGAACATAACCGTATGTACAAATGAACGATCGATGATTGCTCAACTGAGATGCGGAGTGTTCCTGCTCGAAATTAATAAGGGATGCCATCGAGAAATTTCTGCAGAATGACGCTTTTGTTAAATATGCAAGTCAGGCTCTGTTGAATATGAAACTTATTTCGTAATCCACTGCTGAACATATGTAACACAGCGATTTACAATGTTATCAGACCAAATATAACTATGACCTTACAAATCTATCCGATGTGGACAAAACTTTTCTCAGTACAGTGATAGAAGTAAATGCCAAGTTCGTTAATGATACTTTTCGTACCAAAAATTTATCTGTAACTTAATAACCAACTTTTTGCACAAATGACATAAAAAACTTTCTTTGAAAAATTAATGTTTAATATTCTTAAAACAAAGTGCATCATAAGATATAAATTTTGGTACATATTCTTTTTTATTTTGTTGTAAAACGGATTTTTTTTTCTGGGATATTTCATAATGAAGTAAACTGTTGAGATAACTTGTATATGACTTTATTGGTATGAAGAGAATTAGTCTCATCGTTCTTAGTATGTATGCATAGTGTCTTATTGTTTTTTTTTATATAATGCTGGGTACTTATTTGAGATTGCCGTACTCAGAGTAATTGTTTCGCCCAAACTGATGAGTCGACATGTCTTTCATTTAGAAACGTAAATTTTTTTTTGCATTGTCCATATAAGATAAGGAGTTGTGGTATGATTACCAACTAGCCAATTATCAACCAGTGATCAAATAATGTAAACATATCTCCCAGTTGATACGATATTTCAGGGCTTGTATTCCCTTTCATGATTTCCTTGATAAAAGGTTGCTGCTCACAAGGAAGTTATTAAACTAAGAGTTCCAAGTGGTGAAGTTGAAATAATCCTTTCGTAAATTTTACGGATGCCATCATGCGTTTGTTGACCGTTATGAAATATCTGTTTCACAGATGACGACGGATATGTTTCTATTATCGTATCTACAATCCCGTCGCCTTTTCTCCGAATGTGACTTACAGAATTAGACTTATCACCGGGTTTGCACTTACATGAGCAACACGACGGGTGCCACATGTGGAGCAAGATCTGCTTACCCTTCCTGAGCACCTGACATCACCCCCGGTTTTTTTTTTATGTTTTTTTGTTGCTCAGTCTTTAGTTTTCTATGTTGTATTGTGTGTATTAATGTTTGTCTGTTGGTCTTTGTCTTTTTTAATCATGACTTTGTTAGTTTTGTTTTCGACTTTTCGAGTTTGAATATTCCTTTGGTATCTTTCGCCTCTCTTTTAACAACTATATATATCACCGAACTGTCTACAACAATGAGCGCAATCCATACTGTAGAGCAAGCTATGAAAGGCTCCGACATAGAAAAAAAAAACATTAAACAGTTCAAACGGGAAATTCAACGGCCGGATGTATGTACAAAACAGCAATCAAGAAACAAATACGAATTTCCGCACGACAATTGAACGAAAATGTTAACTTTCTTTTCATGAAATAATATTTAATAGTATTCGTTTATTCTTAACTGCAATGAAGATTAGCGAAAGGTCTTACGACATAATCAAACAAATAACAATTGTATCAAATCAGGAATATGACAGTTGTTTCCCATTCGTTTGATGTGTTTGAGCTTTTCATTTTGCCATTTGATAAAAGACTTTCCGTTTTGAATTTTGTTTGGAGATCCGTATTTTTGCAATATTTTTTTTTTCTTTTTACATGAAGACAAACACATAAAGAAACGATCGTTGTCATTTGTTAATTCAAACTTTCGACCTCAAATAGACTTTCAAGTCCCTCCCAAGCGCACTTGCGAAATGATATACAATATACATACAATACTATCACCCGTTGAAACTTTATCAGCATCAATGATTATATACATATCGTATAATGATAAACTCATCACAGGTACCAGGATTAAAATGTGATACGCCAGACGCGCGTTTCGTTTTACTGTTCCTGCTAATATGCACATGAAAATTGCATACATATTTTGTTTTGTACAATATTTCACATCCTCCTCCTCGACACCCTTTAAAACCAAACTCAGTTATGGGGGCAGAGATCTCTTGAATGCAATAAACTCTCACACAATTCTTTACCAACTGTTAAGATCATTTTAAAGAAAGGTATGCATTGCCGTTCCTAACGAAAATTCATTTTGGTTAAGGGTGTACGTCGATGTAACATTTCTAATAAAAACAGATTTATTGATTATTGGTGCTTAACCTCACTTCCTGTATTCTTTGTTATCATCTTTTTACTAAAACGCCTGTAGGTTTGAAAGTGCTATCCAATTTGAATTGATTGATTGAGGATCGCTAAACGTCCGATGGTTGACCTATAGTGTGACTCCCTCGTGGTTAATCAAGTTCGTTATACACTCCCGTAGTAGTAGCATGCATCTTCAACAAACTAACAATTCATAACATTGGTTGGACTAGAAACGCGATCATTGGATGCGACGTTCTTTTTACAAGAACGAGGCTGACCATTCATACATCCCTCACATCTAAACGGATGCCCACTGTAGCACGAATTTTAATGCTAGACTTGAAAAGTTTAGGGATGACTCTATTTTATATCCTTCTTATCCACGAGGAAATACAGGGGAAAACATCTTATTTTAAAATAATTCTCCATTAACTCGAGCTTCCATTTCATTTTGACGCTCAAATAAATAAAAACATAAGAAGAATATCCAATGTGTCTTACATGCAGGTTAACATTGCCTGATAAAGGTTGTTTGAAAATAAAGTTATACGCGTAAAGAAATACTTTCAGGAGGTTTTTTTTGTAGTTGAAACCCGAATTAATTCTTTCTGATCACATGTACTTAAATTTTAATTCTTGAAACTACTTCGAATAGAACATTCTAATGATTTCGATCTTCATACTTTTGAGCTTTTTACAGCTCACTATACGATTCTTAATCCCAACTAGTTTAATTTTTGAGAGATATTTACACAGTTCCGGCTTTCTCGGAGGGAATCGGTATTCTAGGTTTGAGCCCACAATTTCAATTGAAATATTTACTTGCAAATTTTCATACCTGTTTGAAAAAAACTAAATGTACAGTATTAAATTTTGTTTAATTCAAATTAATATTTAAAAAAATATATCGAAATTACGCATTTTCGCAATCAATATGAAACAAAATGAATTATAGCAAAGCATGCGATTTTTTTTTTCATTGAAAATAGAAATGTGTATTTTTTCAAGCAAGTAGTTACTTTCAAAATTAAATGATGGATATTTTTTCTGATATTGCAATTGATATTTTGTAATCTTCTTTTTCTATATATCCGTCGCTCTATTGATTTGTGCTGATAACGCGTATCAAGATAAATATTTCTTTAAATAGAATTAAGGAAAAGAAACAAAAGCATTTAACAATCGATAAACATAACGCTAAATAGAATTGAGAATGAAAACGGGATATGTGTCAAAGACACAACAACCCGAAAAAAGAGCTAAAAACGCTGAACAATGCCGTTTTTCAATCATATAAATTGAACGCTAAACGATATCAAATACCAGCTGACATACGATGAACGAAAGATGTCCTGGCGCTGACCAAACAATGTACAAAACGATACCCAAATGGTTAACGGATGATGCCCTAGTGCAATACGACCCATACCTGAACGATGTGCGGCGTACCGCACTCGAATGAAAAACTTGTTTTTCCCCCGTTACCTGGATTGTATATGCATGAGTAAACATAATTTTTTTAACAGTTTTAAAACAGTAGATTCACACTAAGGAGGCAATAGTTATGTTTGCTTTTTCTGAAATGTTAGTGTTAAAATGAGACAGGTATACAGATATCGACAACGTTTCTGATTGACAGTTTAATCATTCCATCTATAGTAAAGTTATGTGATGTTGTTGATAGATAAGAACAAATGTCAGGTTTATATAGAGAGTTGATAAAACAATACTACATTTAGATCACTTATGTGCTGATCTTGGGGTTAATATTGAAGACCAACGACTATTTTCATTTCTAAACATCAACTTTAGATAAAAGTGTTGTCATCAATACTTACTAGCTGCTGGTTGGGCTTGTGTTGTAGTAGAGGTCGTTGTACTAGTAGCCATCGTTCCCATCATTTCATTTGTTACCATATCAATCATAGGTACCATTGTTACCATATCCATCATAGGTACCATTGTTATCATTATTAAAAAAAGCATAGAAAGGAATGGAAAACTTTCTCCTAAACCGATTCCTGTATCAGTTCCTGAAATGAATTTACAAAATAAGAATTGTTGCCTCTTGCCTATTCGTGTAAATGTTTTCATTGACCCAATAATAGGGGTGTTCCTAAGGTAGGAATCCTATACATAAGAGTGAAAAGAAGATGAATACTAAGTTAAGGTATTTTATAAAACTACTAATAATAGTAAGACAGACATGACTCTCACAAAAATAACAGAAAGTCCAATCCTAAGATTGTCTATCCGTTTAGCTGGATAGGACCACATTTTGCATTTCGAAGGCGTCTTTCACCATTATCACGGATGATACATTTCGATAGTGCAGTGCCAAGTTTATTTAGTTTTTATGAAGTTTTTATATTTTCAAAAACGTGACTGCTGATCACAAAAAAGAAATCAAAATAGTTGAAAAAACACACGTATTATGTATTTTAATATGAAGTTTCAAATTTACATTTAAATACATAATAAGTGTGTTGTTTCAACTATTTTGAACTCTTTTTTTGTGATCAGCAGTCACGTTTGTTAAAATATCATTCAAGATTCACGGTTTACTAACAATATCGTATGTTTTTACTGATACATGTAGATTACAACGACCGAATGTAAACGTTTGTCTTCATTGAGATTTTAAACTCCTGGTAAAGTTTGGAATTTTTTTTCTACTTGATCAATTTAGCAGGAATTCACAATTTGTGCGAGAAATTTGCTGGACATCAGAAGGAGATATTAAGAAATCAAAATTACGGAATTTGTTTCAATTATTTGATATGTAACAACATTTCAGTTTGTCTTCGACTCATGATTTTAAATGTCTTTTTGTTATCTTTCGCCTCTTTTTTACTTTCTTTTGAGAAGTTTCGTCTTTGAAATTACAAAAGAATTGCAGAGCATGTCTTCGATGCGGAAAAACATATAGAGGCTGTCATACTTTCATTGGATAATTTATTATTTGTCAGTTATCTAAAAGGTATGAAGGCACCACTGGAAGAGGAGTAAAACATATTGTGTTCCGTTCAGGAAAAACCAAGAAGTAACAATGTGCCGGCAAGAAAACTTAATTAGGTTTTTAATGTTATGTGTATGATAATTAGGTGGTTTGTAGAAAACTACATAATCCAATGATAAGGACATTCTAAAAAAGACAATTTTTTATTAATATTCTAAAAAAACATATTAAATTTGCATTATGACACACAAATAGAAAATACAAATTCTCTTACTTTATTCGAATGTATTAAATACTGCGGAAAATGAAAAGTTTTGCTATATTTAAAAGGCATGTTCTTTTTATTTTTACCTTAGACGTTCTTCAGGAATTCTAAAATTATAACAGTTACTCATGAAGCAAGAAGAAATTTCCTTATGTTATTGATGAAATCAATTTGTTGGTAAAATAAGAAAGTTTTGCTAACTATGACTATACTTCAGTTATTTGAGAATTTATAAAACCTTTATCGTTTATCATATAGCAAGCTGAAATTCCCTTACTTTGTTGAACATAACTGACCGAAAGCGAAAATGAATAACTTGCTACCTGTGATTGTGCTGTCTATAGTTTTACATAACTGTTCTACAGAAGTAGTAAATAAACTATCGTGACTCACATAGCAATTTGGAATTTCCTTATTAATAGAGTTTTATACAATATGAAAAATGCATTGTCTGACAGAAAAAAAATATATCCGAAATCGTATATAACTGAGTTTACCTAATTACCTCATTTCCATTTATGGAGAAAACTATAAACCAGTTAAAGACAACTTTTGTGCAGATACATTATACATACACAGGCTCTGTTAGAATGTTGTTTTACGGGAATGGTGAGTTTACAATGGGAAAATTGGAATTATCTTTTTTTGTCGTAAACTTTATTTCTTCTTTGTCTTTGTCAATTTCTAGTCATTCACAAGTTATCAGACAGCTTCTTCGTCATTTGGTCTCTTTTGATGATATGTCTCATCGGCAATAAAACCACATCTTCCTATTTTTATATTAACAGTATTTGTGGTATCCTACATGTCATGGAATTGTGATAAATGCAGTAAAAATAGTCAGAAAACTTTGAATGAATCAGTAAATATTTCTGCCGATTTGTAAGTAACTTGGACCAATTCATAAAGTTTTCTTATGTAAAGACTGATCTCTGCTTATACCCTCAATACGAGTTACTGTAGGTTTATATCATCACAAAAAAGGGGAAAATTTGGGTTTGTTTTTTCACAGTCAAGAAGATGCATTAAGTCATTGAATGGGATCAGTTGAAATATGAAAGTTTTTATTGTTTAGTCATTATATAATTTGTTAATGATTAAATTAAGTTACTGAGTATTGTTTTACTTTTCCTAATTTATAATAAAAAAAAAAATACACACATTGCACTTTAAGGATGTTCGCTACTCTTGTTTTTTACTTTTTGTCAGATATTCGGCATCATCTAGTTTTATCCATGTTAGTGCCAATAAAAATTTTCCTCGCAAACGCTTACTTTTCTTTTCATAATTTTATTACATATTGTTTAAAAAAGCCGTTTTTGAAAATCTTTTATAATCCTTGTTATTTTTTAAAAAGTTTTTGAAAGAAAAAAGGTGCCAATTTTAAATATAAAAAAATCTAGAGAGAAACGGTTCCCGCCGAATTTTCAATGGCTTATATCTCGGAAACAAGCACACGGACCCTTAATTTTGTTTCTGCTTATTTAGTTCCTTCATTCATATACTTTCAATTTATACCAGTCTTTTAAAAAGCTTGTTATTTTTAAACAGAGTAGCGAACATCCTTATATTCGGCAATAAGTCACATTCGGTCATGTCACAATCGACTAAGAGCACGAAATAGTTGTTACGACAATTGGGATATATCTGTGGTTATCTGTGACACAGATATTCGATAACAGTCGACCAATTTGTGATGGCTTCCTTAAATGTTCCAAACTTCAACTAACCTCTTGGAAGCCTTAGTTGCATAGCGTCCCTGTAAAAAGCAACCCTTAACCAAGGATGTATGTTAGGAAACGCAAGCACTGGATCGTATCAACTAAGCGATAAATACTTCATGCGCAGGCGCAACTAGAATAGTTGTAAATTGTTTGAAATAATTCAAGTATTTTTTTATGAAGTTATTCATAAAAAAGTATAAAGAGGCGTGTACATACTACACCCTCTGGTGAACATTCGTTATAATATAAGAACATGTTATAATTAAAAATACTGGCATTGATAGAAGTTATACACTTTCAAAGACATTTGTTTATTAGTTACTAATTTACCTCTGGCGGCAAATCTGTCTTCTTTTACAAAAAAATCTTTCTGGTCTTCTCCTGGATCTTCCACTATCACAACCTGTACGGGTTGCTGAGGGGGTTGGAATACTACACATATACATTGTGGAAGGGAAACGACGATCAATACTGTGAGAATCAGCTGAAAATGACAAAACATATTTTTTTGATAATGCTATTGACAAAATATTGAATAGTTGTACAAATATTCATTTGATATCAGAAATTAAATCTACTTGGCGTAGGTTACGATATTCATATGACAAGTCAAACGATTCCGTTCCGGTGCTACGTTTCCTTCCTTACTTTTTCGCAGAAAGATTCCGGTGAAGTTACATGCATGTACATATTACCCAAATGACGTAAACGCTTGATAAAGAAATAACACTTGTAATTGATGACAAATTACGCCTACAACTAATCGATAATATAAAACTCATTAGTTTGCCTTGTGCAGAAAACCGTCCCTCCTCTGATTTCAAGGTAAATTGTGAATCAAAACGTCTAAAGGATAATGAATATTAACTTGACTAACTTTATAAAACTGTAAAAAAACATGTAACTACTGTACGTGACAAGGAAACTAGTAGACTAGAAGAAAAAACACGACGAAATGTAAAAACACATTAACCCAAAACACCGCACATAAAACTACAGAGTGAGTAATGCATGTCTCAAACAGTGCTAATAATGTACGTAAAAATATATTTTTAGAGATTTTCTTAATATCAATTTCCTGGTAGTAATATATATAATCTGATCACGTACATTTACTTAAAATTTAAAAAAGATCAAGTTAGATAATCTCATTTCATTTTGGAATTCAATGACGTATATGCATGCTGCGAAAAAATGTATTCCACAATGTTTAGGACGCAAACGTATCTGTATATGATTAATAGATGTTGATTCGTTCGCTCCAATACAAATATCCACTTCATTCCCGAAATACATATAAAATGTGAACACCTGATAAAGATGATTGCAAATAAACAAACAAATCCTCATAAATTTACCAAAGTGGGTAAGGGCAGAACTCACAGTTCTATGACATATGTTACTGGATGGAGTAAGATATGGTATCTGTTACATTCTTCACATCAAACAATCTTCATACAATAGACATATGAATTAGAGTATTCCGTCCAAAACAACTTTCCATATAGAAATAAGGAGATGTGGTAGGATTGCAAGTGACACAACCTGTTTCATGTTAAAATGATGAAGATAAAACAAACATATAGGTCACCTAAAAGCCGTCAACAATGAGAAAAATCCTAATCGTATAGTCAGTTAAAAAAGGTCCCAACATAACATGTTAAAGTATACAAACAAAAATACTAAAGGCTTAATTTACACAATACAATTTATGAAAAACAACTGAGACGGAAATGAACCAATGGCAACAACTGAACTACTGGCTCCTAAACTTGGTCAGGCAAATAAAGAATGCTGTGGTGTTACGGGCAACCCTATCCTTACACTTCAAACCAGTCAAAGTCTGAAATTGGCAGTATTTGCACTCAACTTTACTGATTCTTACTTGACCAATCTGAATATGTATGAATTTTACTGAAAATTACTTGACCTCTATTTTAACAATACTTGACCTTAATATAGACAGTATAACAGTCTGAACAAAGACTCGACCAGACTGAAACAGTCTTAACCCATTTGATACCTGAACTTAACTTATTATTATCCTGATTTTAATGTCTGAACAAGATTCGACATAAGGTTTGAACTACACTTGATCAATTCTTAATCATAGCCGACCTGTTTAATACATTTCTATTTTACATCAATCTTGATTTTATAATTTACTATAAGTTATTCAACTATGGAACACTTTTTTTTGCTTCCTTTCCAGTTTCAAACAAAACAAATTATAATTAACATTTATCATATTGATTGTAACTACAAAAAAGAAATTCAGTATCATATACTTCTAAATAAATAATTATATTGTGCATAATGTTACACCATAAATACAAGCATATTTTATGGCTATAATTCAAACTATTATAACAACTGTATTAAATTAATGTAAGATTTATAAAGTATGTATTTTTCCTCGAATTTACACTTAATAAGATTACTTCATACACATTCTGAACAGAACACTCATTAAAAAAAATATATCGCTATACAAATAAATATATGATTTTTAAAATGATTATTTAAGGTGTAAAATTGGTACAATATTGTTTATAAACAAGGAAATTATCCAATGAAATATGTTTTTCCTGAGTTGTTAACTGTATTGAATATGAAGTCATCAAGTCATAAAACAGGTGCTATAACATTGTCACCTACTGATGAATCGAAATATAAAATACAAATGGGAATAAGATAGGAAAATACTGGTGACATTTTAAAGAATCTGAAACAAGAATTTCAAAATCCTCAAACACAAATAAAATAGGCTGTTACAATCTTCATGAATACTCAAAGTTTAAAACATTTTGAAAAGCAATAAGAGGTTCAACATGATGCTATTCTTATCATAAAATAGAATTAAAATAAAATATTTGTTATTTGATTTCGTTTAAGTTTGCCAAATAGAATAAATCATAAAAGTAATGTGTCAGGTAAATGATACTAATACAATAAGATATGAAGTATTGGAAAGTAAGACAAAACATGAAAAACACTTGAAATTTTTTTATTTTACCTTAGTTATTTCATTGTGGAATTTCAACAGTAGTAAAACATTTATTTTGTCAAGACTTCAGGCAAATTACAATTTTGAATGATCTGATAAATTCCATTGTCCCCGTGTTTTGAATTAAACAATTCTTGAAGTTTCAACAAATATATCAAGTAATTTTGTTTTATCCTTAGTCCTTGAAAAATGTATTCCAACTCAAAAACATGTTGATATATAGTTTAATAATTTTTGATAGTAAAAAATAATTTTAAGATTTACAAAGTTCACTTTTACAAGGATTTCTCAATATACAAATCCTTGACTTTTATAATACTTCAACAATCGTAAAATGTATTAGTTAATTATAGAATAATTTCAGTTTCCAATATTTTTTTTTTTATTTTTATAATTCAAAGGTCGCCTTGTGTATCACATATGTATCTTTAGAATAGTAAAATTGAGAATGGAAATGGGGAATGTGTCAAAGAGACAACAACCCGACCAAAGAGCAGAAAACTGCCGAAGGCCACCAAAGGGTCTTCAACTCAGCGAGAAATTCCGCACCCGGAGGCGGGCTTCAGCTGGCCCCTAATCAAAAATGTGTACAAGTTAAGTGAAATTGGGCGTCATACTTTACTCCAAAACATATAAATGAACTAAAATTAAAAATCATACAAGACTTACAAAGGCCAAGAGCTCCTGACTTAGGACAGGCGCAAAAATGCGGCGGGATTAAACATGTTTTGTGAGAGTACAAATATGAAACATCAATGTAACAATGAGCAGATTTGGTATGATAACCAATGATACAACTCTCCGCCAGAGTTCAAATGAAGTGGATGTAAGCAATTATAGATCATGGTAAGGAATTAAACAATGAAAAAAACCTTACAGTATAGTCGACAATAAACGAACCCGACATGTAAGAGTTGAAAATTTCAAACGAGAAAACTAACGGCCTAATTTATAATAAAACAATCCCCCCCCCCCCCCCCCCCCCAAAAAAAACAAAACAAATATGACAGATACAAACCAACGACAACTACTTTACCACAGGTTCCTGACTTAGGACAGGCACATACAGAATGTGGCGAGGTTAAACATGTTTGTGTGCGCCTTACCCTCTCCAAACATGGGACAGTGGTGTAACACCATAATGTTAGAATAATAGTAAAAAAACAACTGTTACAATTGGATTAAATCGGTAGATTGGTACGGGGAACAAAAATAACTAACATAAAAACAATTGACATTAGGCACCGAAATTAGAGTATTCTCAGTTACTTAAAGATAGTAGAAAGCCAATAACAACTAACAGATGAATCATGTTCTTCAAGACTAAAGTTTCAACCAGTACACATCTAGCTAATTTGGTTATTTTTTTCAAAAAACAACATCAATATCAGTACCGATAAAATCAATATTATAAGATTATAATACTGTGGTAAATTAATAGTCAAGGGGTCTCGGTGGCTGAGTGGTCTAAGTAGTCAGACTACTGTATCACTAGCCTGTCAAAACTGGGGGGTGTGAGTTCAAATCTCGTACGTGGCAGGTGCGTTTGACTCAAATGTAAATTGTCAAGGATTGTCAGTTTTCCCACCAAAGATCAATGGTTCTCTCCGGGCATGCCGGCTTACTCCACCAATTAAAACTGACCATCACGAAATAGCACAATGGTGCTGAAAGTGACGTTAAACATCAACCAATCAATCAATAAATTAAAAATCATTAAAAAATAAATTCATTCAACGGATCAAAAAGTTAATATGATTGATTGATTGATTGTTGGTTGTTTTACGCCGCATTAGTTAATATGGATAGTGTCTAAATGTATGGGCTTTATAAACAACATCACTTTTAAAAAATAGGATGTAGTTTCCCGTTTTTTTTTATTAGAACTCTACAGATACAGCCAAACTTGCTAACGAAATATTGTTATCTATGAAAGAATATGGTTCAGGGTTTCTTTAATTTGTGGTAACGTACTTCCTTACATTATAGTTTACCAGTTATACATGAATTGTGTTCATTGGAATCTAAAATGCAACTACAGATACAGGTACAGAGAACAAGTTGTGAAAATACACACCGTTAGGAGGAGCAAAAGGAACATATCAGTCCAAACATGGAACGTCAATAATCGGGATGTTCACATGTAATAGTAAATTACATGGTCACCTGGTTGACCACTTGTTAATTAATCCAGCTTGTATCATTATTCAACTCTATTGGAATATATGTCTATATGGTTTATTATCTTCAATAAACATGAGTTGCTATTTTTTTATATATAGATATGTATATATGTGTAACACCTTTGCTGTGACTGACTATTTTAATAAAATGTTTATATCTTTAGGCACAAATTAGAGATAAAATAAATAAAATTAAGGGGTGTCTAAATTATTTACAAGCGAAAACAAAGAAGTTAATGTAATGTATACATTTGCATTGACGATTTGACTTTTAAGGCTTTAAAGATGACAAAA